GCGAGTACCTTAGATTATCGGACATCAATAACGGCTGAACCGATCATATTTTTAATAGGCTTAATCAATAGCTTGGGTTTGAATTATATAATGAAAGTGTCTTTATTTTTTTTCTACATGTATCGTGAATGGAGGTAATATGATGCGAAGTCAAAATGTATAAAATTTTTATTAAGATACGTCTCCGTCGTCATCACCCTAATACATATACAACACATGCAAAGAAATATAGTGATATCACGCTACACGCATATACACGTATACAACACATGCAATATGCAAATGTATTAGTCATGTTGTACAGTTGATACGCTCGACAGAAGATTGCGCTAGCGGTGCTCTGAGATTTGACAAGTCAATGAATTTGACAAGTAAATGAAGAGTAAAAAAGGTTAACGATAGTGTCTCGCGCCAAGTCACACGCAACCAAATTCACGCGCATTAAGAGTATTGCGGAATAATGCAACAAGGAAGAGACAATATATGTCAAAGATACAGTCGTATCTCGTTGCTTCGTTTAAATATTTACTGTGATTTTTTCTAATCGATATCATATTGGGCAAAATTAGGTTATATTAGCAAAACTGGGCGCTTATACTTCAGTGAATCATCAATTAATACATTTGTGAAATAAATTGTTGAAAAATAATTATGGAAGCAATATTTATGCAATATTTAAAATAATTATGGAAGGAATATTTGAAAAGTTTGGCTGACCATGTTTTCTATAAGGGTGACGTCCCATGGCGCATATTGCGATACGCGCGTATCAGGCGTATCGAACTCTGCGACCAATCACAGATGTTCTGCTATTTTCAGTACGCCGGAGTTTGGTTCCTACTGTCCCATGGAGCGGATTACGCGGTAGCGGAATCAGTGGATCGCCGATCACAGGGTTGTTCTGATAGAGCCCTTTCAAAGATTACGTCGAAGTAGTCCTGTGATTAGCGATCCGTTAGATCCGCTTTCGCGCAATCCGCTCCATGGAACAGTAGGAACCAAACTCCGGCGTACTGAACACATACACACAAGCACGTATGGACCCAAAAAGTAAAGTTTTCAGAAGCCAGTTGTTTGCAAATATTAATAAAGTAAAAAGTGAAAGTTTTAAAACTGCTGTTGGTGTTACTTTTGAAAATTTTAATAAAGAAAATTGTGAAAAATAGTTTATAGTAAAAAGAGGTAAATAAAATTTGGTATATTAAATTAGATTAGTGTGTATATTATCCTCCATTCTTTATTTTCTATTCATTGTCCTCCATCCTTAAAATATTTTGTATATTAGTTGCAATTAGCTTTTCAGCTTCTTTTACACACACATGCAATGATTACATATGTATGACTGTACGATCCGCTCGAATAATGAATTCAGCGGCGTAAAAACGGCGGATCGTCTGTCATTGGTCGGAGTTCGATACGTCTGATACGCGCGTATCGCAATATACGCCAAGAAATGTCACCCTAACGATAAGCTGGTAATTATACGCGTGAACGCGTGTCCCCATGTGTAATATTTATCGCTCTTTTCCGTTTTCTGTCTTTCTCTCTCCTTCTTTCTTTTTCTTTCATTTTGCTATTTATTGCGTTCTCGAGCAATTCGATATTGCTTGTTGAATGTACATATATATGTTTATGTTAATGTAGCAAAATAAATCTTGTGGAAATTCTATCAAAAATATCTTGTGGGAACATTTATTTTAAAAAATAACAACATTGAAAGTATGTATCTATATATATACATATATACAATATAGATAGATAGATACATACATACAGTGCCTACCAAAAGTTCCGGGCCACCTAAATAATTTTTGAATGGTTTGAAATACAGGATTGAAATTTATAGGGATACAATGGGATCACAAAGTCTATTATTTAACCACAAAAACACCCACTTCTACACCCGCGGGGGACAAGGGAAGAGGGGAGCCAAAAAATCTTAAATGGCATGTGGAGTTGAGTGAGGGCTCGTTCGAAAGGGCTTTCCGAGACGAAAACAACGCGAGGTCGCCGAGGTCTCTACGATCCTTTTTCGCAGAGTTATGATCATTTGAACATTTCTATTTAGATTTTGCAATAGCGAGGGCCCACGGCGACAACAGAAGAAAGATAAGGCTTCACGCGGGCACGCGCGTTCCTGAGTGTGTGTGTGTGTCCCGGGATGGGAACACCGGTGTATGTGAAGGAATAATAACACTAATTATTTTATCATATGTTCAAATTGATGTCCTTCGACAACTTGGCAGTGTCCTAAGCGAATGTAAAACGTATCGATAACATTAGTTAAAAAATTGGGCGTGATTAAATTTGAAACGTTCACTATTTTTTCCCGCAGCTCTTCTAAATTTTCGGATCTACTCTCATAGACTTTCGTTTTCAAATACCCCCAGTAAAAGAAGTTTAATGGGGTCAGATCTGGTGATCTCGGTGGCCATTCTATTGTGCCTCTTCTACCAATCCATCGATCAGTAAAAACATCGTTGAGAATATTTCGAGCTTCCAGAGAAAACTTCTGTGATAATCGTCTTCGGATAGCTCCTGGACTAGATGTATTTTGTAAGGATGATAGTAATGCTTCTTCAAAATTCGATGGACTGATGTTGTGCTAATATCATTTCCTTGAGCTGCTCTCGAGACCGATGTATGGGGATTATCGTATAGTTAGCAGAACATCTAAAGCTTTTTTGTCATTACTAGCATTTTTGGGTCTTCCAGATCTAGGCGCATCTTTAATTACACCGGTTCTTTGGAAACGACCAACAGTTCTTTCAACAGTTGACTTTGAAATTGGTTCACGGTCAGGATATGTGGCATTGATTAAATCCGCTACTTCTTGATAGGACCTTATTCTGACGCCATACCCTCTCATCATCAATACAGTGATCCTTACTGTATCAGTTAAATGCATTTTCTGACAATAGAATAATAATAAATTTAAATAATTTTTTTCATTAAAATTTTTCCTTTTAAATTTTTTAAATTTAAAAAAAAATTTTTTTTCCTTTAAATTTTTTCTTTTAAATTTTTTTATTTTTTTATTTTTTCCGGGCGCGTGAACATGCTTGGGTTCGAACCTGGGCCCTCCACTTCTCCAAATAGGGTCCTAGTATGCTGGGCTAGCTGAAAACTTATTAGAATAGAAGTTAAACGTAGTATTTGTGGAGAGTAGCCCACAGCCAAGATAGGGGTCCTGACGGTCCGATTGGTTCTCTCCATAGTGCCCAGTCCTCTGATTGGTTCCGTCGGTTCCGTCGATTTAAAGCGGGTTGGAAAAACAAGCCAAAAAATAGTGCGTGGAGAAAGCGGGCAAGATGTCTGACGGAAAGCAGACGTGACGACAACCGACAAAATGGCGACCGTCGAGACTGGAGATGCGTCTAGGCATAAGGCACCCAGCCTTCCCCTTACGGAAAACCGAAAGATATTGTGCGGTATACAACATCGTCCCATCGCCCCTGTTTGAGATCGCATTAAATTACACATAATTTAAATTCATCTTTGCGATATGGGCTTCGCATTATTATCACATCTCGAACAGCCCCCTTAGAGGAAAACCGGGAGATGTACGATATATGTCGCCCACTCTCTTCCACCCTTCCTGTTGAAAAGAGAAAAATTGGATAAGGTACCGCTAGAATAAACTAGGTGCTATGAAGGGGTAACGAACACGTGCGTGCATGTATGGGTACGCTTGTCCGAGCGGGCGAGCCCCGCTGCACAGGTAGACAAATGGTAACATCATCGCTGGAGACGATAGAAAGGGTCTTGAAATATATACGGGTACCTAAGACTGCTTGACGCTGAGGCTTAGGACAGAGTCTATGACGTCGCTGAGACGTCGGGAAAAAAGCAAGGGAAGAAAAATATTTTTACCTGGTTGTTTTAAAATAAAAAACATCTTTATTTATATTACGTGGGAATATGGAACATTGTACAATGAAAAATTTACATATAATTTAATATTTATTTACAAAAAGATTATTTTCACCGCTGCGAAAAGTACACAAAAATATATTACATAATATATTATAGCAATAAAAGAGAGAGTCGAGAAAAAATAGAAAAATCATTGTTCAGATGCATAACCATACGGTAGCGAATTTCGACTATCGATAAGTCTACGTTTTAGTAATAAGGGCGCGCATACTTTAGTTTCGTCCCGTGTTACGATCTCGTGAAACGCGCTACGACGAATTGCTCTAAAGCATAGATTTATCGAAGTTTTCGGCAATTCTTCTCCGTTCTTTTCATTTTCCTGTGCTCTCTCTTTATTTAACAATAAATTCTTAATGCTGTTAAAATTAACCAACCGTGAGTTTTCATAGTTTAGGGTTATGCCCTTTACTTTACAGCATTCACGCGTACGCCCGTCCGGCATACGAACAACATAGGCATAAAATTTTGGGCCACCGGACACAAACGCCTCGATATAATTACCACGGCCGTAGCTTTCGAGCTCGTCCGTCATGTCACCCAGAAAATTTCCCGTATGCGGTTCATACTCATTCGGTTTACCTGTGCTTACGTATATACACGAATCAGTATCATAATATAACACGCGTCGATCTAAGCGTTCTAAATATTCATATAATTTTAAGCGCGCTTGAGCCGTCGTATACGCCGCTATCGCAACATTAGTTATAGGTGAGGGCGTGACAGCCTCTTGTCGCAATCGCCACGAAACATATATTACCTCGTCGTTCACGGGTAATATATCGGTTATCTCATGCTCGGCGCTCGTCAGTAATGTCAGAAAACGTTGCAGCGTTCTCACAACCTCGGTATTCGGCAAATTGGCCCGCTGGCCGAATTTTCCCCAAAATGAATTTAAACAGAGTTTTGCAACCGAACGTAAACCGGGGTTCAGCGCGATGTTATGCTTATCGAGAACAATACCTTCGGTTTTTTCGTACTCCCGTAGATATCGTTCTTTAGCGTCATCGTCGTCACCGCATTCCCCCGGCCATCCGCTTGCTTCTTGTTTAATTGTAAGAATGAGTTTATATATTCGGCGAACAAACCGCCTTGTCGCGATGCGCGATCGAATTGGCTAACTTTATATTGCCAAATCTTACTGCCGTCACGAGATAACCTTTTTCGACTGCCTTTCGTAATTCGCACGACACCCACGTACCCTCGAATTCGCGCTCATTAATGTTGTCGTGCGTGCAGGATGTCTGCGCAAATGTTTCGCAACAACTACGACATAAGGCGAAAAGCAATTTTCCGCGCACGCGATACGGAAGTACAGGGTGAAAGAGGTTGCGAGGAGGAAGCACGGTACAGCGTATGAGACCTTCGAGCGAATCAAAATTGTAATTTGGAGCTATTCCGATTAAAGGGGCGCATTCTTCGCCGACATAAATATCTGGATGTCCGATCGGGAAAGCGCCTGTCTTCAATACATACGGGTATAAAGAGCATACGTCTACGTAATGTATTTTCTCTGCACCCGTAACTTCGTATCGAGTCACGATATTTCCCGTACGGCCGCCGAAAAATGCATCGCGAGGGTCGAGCGGTGGTGTTTCCACCAACGGATGGTTTTCGAGATATTCTCGCATTTCGCGATTCTCGAGCATATCCCGATCAAAAACGCATTCCCATTTTTCCGTCACCATGTACCCCCGTTGTCGAAGGCGCCACGATATCGCGAGAGTTTGCTCGTATCGCGAAGCAATCGTATCTCCATGATCCGAAGTCGAAGAAAGCGCTCTATCGCGATTCGAAGGAAAGCAAGTCGGACACCCGTGCCAAAAGCATCCGTGAAATTGTAAAATGTGACGCTGTGTCGTCTCAACATCGGTCGTTTCATAATAACCGTCGACGAGCGTGCCATCAATCGTACGATATTCACGCGCACGCTCCGCATGGTTAATAGGATGCCCGATTTCGCGCTCCATCCATACCAGCCATTGTAGAGCTTTACGCGAATAATTGCTCGCTTTTCTATATCCACCGGAAGGGATAATACCTATTTCCTTTTCGCGTAAAAAGTTTTTACGGAAAACTGTCATACACGTCGAGGCAATAGTGGTGCATTCCATAGGCATAAAATTTTGGGCCACCGGACACGAACGCCTCGATATAACTACCACGGCCGTAGCTTTCGAGCTCGTCCGTCATGTCACCCAGAAAATTTCCCGTATGCGGTTCATACTCATTCGCTTTACCTGTGCTTACGTATATACAGGAATCAGTATCATAATATAACACGCGTCGATCTAAGCGTTCTAAATATTCATATAATTTTAAGCGCGCTTGAGCCGTCGTATACGCCGCTATCGCAACATTAGTTATAGGTGAGGGCGTGACGGCCTCTTGTCGCAATCGCCACGAAACATATATTACATCGTCGTTCACGGGTAATATATTGGTTATCTCATGCTCGGCGCTCGTCAGTAATGTCAAAAAACGTTGCAGCGTTCTCACAACCTCGATATTCGGCAAATCGGCCCGCTGGCCGAATTTTCCCCAAAATGAATTTAAACAGAGTTTTGCAACTGAACGTAAACCAGGGTTCAGCGCAACGTTACACTTATCGAGAACAATACCTTCGGTTTTTTTGTACTCCCGTAGATATCGTTCTTTAGCGTCATCGTCGTCACCGCATTCCCCCAGCCATCCGCTTGCTTCTTGTTTTAATTGTAAGAATGAGTTTATATATTCGGCGAACAAACCGCCTTGTCGCGATGCGCGATCGAATTGGCTAACTTTATATTGCCAAATCTCGCTTACTGCCATCACAAGATAACCCTTTTCGACTGCCTTTCGCACGACACCCACGTACCCTCGAATTCGCGCTCATTAATGCTGTCGTGCGTGCAAGATGTCTGCGCAAATGTTTCGCAACAACTACGAGATAAGGCGAAAAGTAATTTTCCGCGCACGCGATACGGGAGTACAGGGTGAAAAAGGTTGCGTGGTGGAAGCATAGTACAGCGTATAAGACCTTCGAGCGAATCAAAATTGTAATTTGGAGCTATTCCGATTAAAGAGGCGCATTCTTTGCCAACATAAATATCTGGATGTCCAATCGGGAAAGCGCCTGTCTTCAATACATACGGGTATAAAGAGCATACGTCTACGTAATGTATTTTCTCTGCACCCGTAACTTCGTATCGAGTCACGATATTTCCCGTACGGCCGCCGAAAAACGCATCGCGAGGGTCGAGCAGTGGTGTTTCCACCATCGGATGGTTTTCAAGATATTCTCGCATTTCACGATTCTCGAGCATATCCCGATCAAAAACGCAGTCTCATTTTTCCGTCATCATGTACCCCCGTTGTCGAAGGCGCCACGAGATCGCGAGAGTTCGCTCGTATCGCAAAGCAATCGTATCTTCATGATCCGAAGTCGAAGAAAGCGCTCTATCGCGATTCGAAGGAAAGCAAGTCGGACACCCGTGCCAAAAGCATCCGTGAAATTGTAAAAAGTGACGCTGTGTCGTCTCAACAACGGTCGTTTCATAATATCCGTCGACGAGCGTGCCATCAATCGTACGATATTCATGCGCACGCCCCGCATGGTTTATAGGATGCCCGATTTCGCGCTCCATCCATACCAGCCATTGTAGAGCTTTAAGCGAATAATTGCTTGCTTTTCTATATCCACCGGAAGGAATAATACCTATTTTCTTTTCGCGCAAAAAGTTTTTACGGAAAACGATCATACACGTCGAGGCAATAGTGGTGCATTCCTCGAACGGGCATACGTTGCCGCGGTTTATAAAAATTTTTCTAAATGCTATACAGGCGCGTCGAAGAATGTCTACATCGGTACGACAATAGCGAACAATTTCTTGTTGAAAGTCGAATACGGTGTTTTTTCGCGTCATGTCCGTATGCCATGCGAGAAAGCGTTCGCGTTCCGTTGTCTTCATGTTTTCAGGAGAATAATATTTCGCGTCTGGTAACGGCCCGACATACGTTTGATTTTCGGCAGTGTTAAATAAATGCGGAAAAGTGCCTTTATCCACAGAGTCCCCTAGGCCAAAAGCTTTCGGTAATTCAGATAATCGCATTGGCATATAATTAGCACTGTCGATGAATTTTGTATTTCCTGCTAATAACATTACAATTTTTGTGCCGCTCAAAATTATTTTCGGCTCTAAATCATTCCGATTTTCTACGATGTATTGAAGAATAAACTGCGCGTCGAACGCTTTCGCATTATGTGCTATGCATATGATCTGGTTGAAACGTTTCGTCTTTCGCGTTGCGAATTCGGCAAATTGTTTCACGGGGTCATGTCTGAATATGAATTCGCGTATGCCGCACCAACGGCATCGCACGGACATGTCGTTTTCCTGCGCGCATGCTTCGCAAATCTGTTGCGCCACGCAGAGGGTAGGTACATGTTTTTTCACGTTCATCGTACCTTCGAGCGTCTCATCTTGCCGTGTTTCGAAATCATAAAATATAAATGCCACGAGGTCCTTTTTGCGCTTGTTTACCTCTTCGCCAACAGCTTCTTTACTCTTTGTTGTTCCTCGCGTATCCGATATCAACGTAGTCATCGCCGTTGACGAGGACGGTTCGGTAGAGGAACTAACCCCTTTGCGAAGAGGTTGCATATGACATAAATGATTTTGAGATTGCGGCGTTCGACATAGCCTGCAGTAAGAAATGCCACATTCGTGTTTTGTATTCGATTTAACCGCGCATCCGCATTCATTGCAAAATCTCACGACATTACAAACACTCGCGAGCGATCTACCGTTATACGATTTTTTACTACGATGACGATCGAAATATTTTGCACCGTAAAACGTTCGATTACATGAATCGCATTTCACAGGCGCATCGGAATCGGTGCATGCCGGCTCTGCGAAACAGCGCGGACATTTATTCAAGCACCGATGACCTATCTCGTCCCGAAAACTTACATTACACGACGTACAATAATTACGAGAACCAGCGGCTGCTTTTAATGTCGCGAGCTCTCGTAATACATTATATTTAATCGGTGCGACGATTCCCGTCCGAGAGAAGCGAGTATTGCAGTTCCGTCGTACATAGGTTTTTCTCCGCAACCGAAAGTACTAAAATTATATACAACTATCGCGGTATTGTCAGCGGCGAGATAATTTGAAGCGTTCGATTTCCCGAATTCCGCAACCCTCTTCAGGTATCGTAGATGTCTCCGACCTGAAAGAACCGTAACGTTAAAAACTCGAATATCGAAGCGTTCCGCAATATCAAGACCTCCCGCGCTCTGCGCTACCGAACTCACAATTCCCCAAATATCTTCATACGTCAAGTCGCGCGCAGGACGAAAAGATAATCCGGCAGGTCCATGAGATAAATCCGCAGAATGAAAAGATAACCCCACATAATCACCAGGTTCGCATGAATTTATGGCATACGCGTGAATTTCACGGAACGTGTTTTCTAACAAACGATAAATATCTCCGCCTTCAAGCAACGGTCGAATCGCGAAACTCGCTTCTTTTCCGATTATGCCGAATCTCCGGAACCGACGTGTACTTTCCGCTAATAAATCTATATAGTTAAAATTAATATGTCCAACCTGAAGAGGCTGTTGTTGATGATGCCGTTGCTGTCGTTGTTGCTCCGCTTCTTCGGCATCTTCTGTCTCCGGCGAAGGATTACAGCTATCTTCAGCGCCGACTTCCTCTTCATTTTCCTCTTTCGTTGTTGCTTCCTCGTTATTATGAGGCTGCGACTTTTGTTCTACGTGAGTCGCTTCTTTATTTCGCCCACCACCTCTCTGCACTGTCAAAAGCAAACCGCAATATGCAGTAATTCATCATAATCGGCGAAATAGCCTAGCCTGTATAACACTGCTAGTACAGTGTTCGAGCAGGCCCACGCAAAAGACCGAAAAACAGCGTAATTGAATTCCGACAACTCATCCCATAACGCGGATAAATATCGTTCCCTGTTTAACGTAAGCGACAAATTTGAGCCTATAATTATGCATTTGCATAATATTTCTTTGAGTCCAGTCATTTTTATCAACGCTCACTCACGTTGTCACTTTTCATGATAAATATAACACTTTTCGCGGAAAGACACGCGTTGCTTCGATCGATGGCGAATTCGGAAATAATTTTTCTACTACACCGCAAAGCATTTATTTAAACTCATATCCCCTCTTTTTTTCCAAAAAGGAATACCCCCGAAAGAATTAAAATTTCTTCTTTCTTCCGAGAAAAAACGGACAAAAAGAAAAATAGTTTCTTATTTTTATTACGATATGCAGGCATTGCATGCAATAGTTTTATTGCTTAGGTGTTTTTATTATAGAGGTGTCAAAGTAAAGACTTTGTTGTGAAAATCTTTTAAAATTTTCGTAGAAGGGCTAGGATTATGCCAATTAGAAATTCGTCCTTTATAACATTTTTCTCTTTACAATATAAGCTATAAAAATTTATTATACGGCTGCTAGGCTTTTATTTACGCTTTGTAACATATTGTAATTGTATTTCGAAAAAAGTTTAGAGAAAAATTTTTTCCTTGTAACGAATCTAATTTCTAGATGTTTCTAGATGTCTTCACGTAATTTTTAGCGTGATGAATAAGTTTGAACGTGAAAAATCATGATTTTTCCTGTTATTTGGCTGTCTGCGCAAACTTTTCCCCCCCACTTTTCTTTATATTTCGATATATAAGCAGCACGAGAAGATGCGAATTCTTATTCATTTGAGTTTGCTCGTACGAAAATCTTCCTTTCGGCTTCGATACAAGAATTTGTCGTTGTTGTGACTAGTATTCAACTCGGTTTTATTCAAAAGTGATAACAATGGCTGCCACAAAAGAAGTTTCCAGTGATCAGAAGAATCTAACCGATTTTGTTAAATCTACACACGTTTGCGATATTAGCAAATCGGACAACAAGATCGACATCGATAGAAGAAACGAACAGCGTTATTTATTACTATCGACAACGTATGGTCTTAATTCATCGTGTACTAAGAAGCTACATGTGGGATTGCAAGCAACAAACGAAGATTATTTCGCACCAATTGTTAAATTAACGGGTAATTATGCGGACGGAATTTGTCTTGATACCGACACCTGGCAGCAATTTCAACTCAACATGGAACAGATGGACCTGTACTTGAGTGAGAATCAAAAAACCAAACCAAGTCCGATTATCATCAACAATATTTCCATCGGCTTCACCACCGCTTACGGGTCGAGGGCTGTGATAGTGACTTACAAGGAAAATGTGGAACAATCTGCGAGTAATGGTGAAGCGGAGGAGCAAGAGCAGCCGCCCTTGAAGAAACGAAAAACACACAGTGTCGCTATCGTGATGCAGAAAGCAACTTTTCTCGGCCTGGAAAATATTGCGAGATGCGTGGATGCGCATTTGTCTCGGCTAGTTTGCATCGCCGACACCGTCAACACCTGCGCCAATTACTTAATGAACGAGATAGAATTAAAACTCCCATCAGCTTACATAGATCGTGAAATTATAAAACTCATAGTTATCGGTAATTTTCAAGAAATTGAACGCAATGTACAAACGCAAATAAAGGATTTAACATTTTTAGATGTATATTTCAATATTGTATTCAAAGAATTACTTTCACTAGGATTTAATGAAATCGTGCGTATAATTTTAAAACGCAATTGTTAATTTTACGAAAAAAAAAAATAAAAAATTATTGTCAATAAATATGAAGTTTTTCCACCTTAAAAATCACAGCGTATTTTTTCCTTTACCCCTCTCTAATATTTCCTTTACTTCTTTACTACACGCATAGAACATTCCATCAAAATAATAT